CTCCAATGTTAGGTTTGACTGCTGGGTTCCTCATCCTCATCTTTATCCCTGAGCCGAAGAGAGGGTGTGCTGACCAGCTCACTGGACGGATAAAGACACGCACTTCCTGGCTCTGTGACATGAAAGCTCTTGCCAAAAAGTATGCCACTTTTTTTCCTATCCATTACTCAAAAATGAAATGAACTTAATGTTTAGGATTGGGATGTACCAGATGCAACCGCTTAATCAACCATTGAGTGAATATTGGACCCTCAGTGTCTATTTTTACAGTCATGCCTTCACTTGAACATGTGACAGTTCATTGGAGTAGCTGGCATAGAATTTTAAGGGCCAAGTAGTCTCTGCTTATCCTGTGGTGTGACAACTATAATTCAACTAAATTTTAATTATATTCTATCATTTTAATAATTTATTGTATTTTAAACACTGAGATATATACAATATCTATTATCATCAATAACATTACCTAAATTGTGTAGCCTATATTATATACGCATGTATTATTACATGTATTGTTCACACCACTATACCAACCATATTTGTTGTGGCTAAACTGACATTGAATGTAGGTAATGGCCATAGTATATGTCAACTACCCATATCACATTGGTTAACGTGATTTCCCCAAGTAGAACATCGCTGTTGATCCTGGAACAACATTTCAATCAACCAATCAGATTTGAGGGATAGTTTTGTAGTTAATGTCAAGTTTACAATAAGATTAGGGGCTTTTACACTATTCTTATTCACCTATATTTTTCTACCTATTTAGGGATAAGTTATGGGTAGGGTTAGGTTTAGGGGTCGGGATAGGGTTAGGACTATGTTTTTGGACAGCAATGTTGTTCCAGGATCAGCAACAGATGCAGATCCAGGAACATGTCTTACTTGGCAAAATCACAGCAACCACATACATTATGTCAGAAAGACATAAAGAGCAAAAATAACAGAAAAACAGGCAATACAAAAAAAAAAAAATATATATATATCTGAATGAAAACTCAAGAATTATGCATGTTAATTCCTATTCTTTCTGTTCCCTAGCCGTAGTTATGTATTTTCTTCTCTGGCATCGGCCGCAGTGTCATTTGCCACGGGGGCGTTTGGGATCTGGATCCCACAGTACCTAGTCAGAGCTCAGGTGGTGCAGAAGACAGCAGAGAGCTGCACCTATCAACCCTGCAGCAGTAAAGACAGGTCAGAACACACACACACACACACACACTCCGCTTGAAACCTAACGGTCAATCACAAGCGTTACAGTTTTGACAATGTTTCTCTCTCATCTCTAGTTTGATATTTGGAGCCATCACCTGCGTGACTGGGCTGTTGGGGGTAGTGATCGGCGCTGTGACCACACGGCTCTGCCGCCAGAAGACGGAGCGTGCCGACCCGCTGGTGTGTGCGGTCAGCATGTTGGGCTCTGCTATCTTCATCTGCCTCATCTTTGTTGTGGCCAAGAAAAGCATTGTGGGAGCATATGTAAGTAACTCTACTTTCTTCAGTCTCAGCTTACTTCACAAGTCTATACTGTAAAAATTGACTTTTTAATTAGTTATAAATTAGTCTTTTGGATTTGTTTTCCAGTAAAACATATATGTGTGCGAGTACTTGAAAAACAACAGACTAGACTAGATTAGACTAGACTAGACTAGACTAGAATCTAGAAACTCTATTTGGCTTCTCCACTCATAATCAAACAATCAATAAATAATACAATTATTCTAAAATATTAAGATTAAGACTAAGAAAATAATATTAATACTCCTTACATTCACTAAGGTGAATTCAGGGTGATTGGGACATTATGACACTTCACATAAATAGCTCATATTATATTGGTTGCCATAGAACTGTGGTGTAGAGATTGAGATTGTCTCTTGAATTGCTTCTTAACACTGTGGCCTGAATATCTCTGGTACAGCTCCCTTCTGACTATCCTTGTATTACAATGAGCCCTTTCGGTCCATGTCAAAAAAGGTCACATCTAGTCAGAGTTCAATATAATTAATATATGTTAATATAGGTTGGTAGGCTCAAACCCAATACTAAAAGAATAAGCGCAACAGGCACTGCGTACGCACTTTTTTAACTGGCATGTAAAGCAGGAAAAGGGAGCAGTTTTCACAGTTACGGCTAAGAAACAATAGACTGTGGCATTTGTGAGTCACTAATGGAGAAAAAGTTATGCTGCAGTGCATAAGAAAACAAAGAAAAAACTTCTACCAGGTCATACTCGTTCTTCTAACAAGAAACAATCAGGTCAGAACAAAATGCTGGTGTTCCCTGAAGGGCCAAACCAGACTGGGAATCTCATAAGTGTTTATGATGAGAAGTCTAATGAGAAAGTATTTTTAGGGACTGCGTGTCTTTCCCATGGACAAAAGAACCTTGTACACCATGATAATGCCATGTCTCTGGTGTTATGTTTGAGAAACTCTAAGCTTGCTCAACGTTTGCCACCTTATCTTAACTATGAAAGACTCACAAACTGTACCCTCAACCGACCTGGTTTTGCAACCATTTGTTCCTTTGTTAAAAGCTGTGATGACTTTAAGGACTATAAAAGCAAACTGTGTGGTCTCATGGACTCATACCAATCTTTAGTTGGATCTTGATCAAGACAAGAACAACAATTTATAGAATAAAATAAAATTTAATTAAAAATATACACTGCCATTCAAAAGTTTGGGTTCAGTATGTTTAAAAAAAAATTATAATTTTATTCAACAATGATGTATTACATTGATCAAAAGTGACAGTAAATGTATTTATAATGTTTAAAAAGATTTCAAATAATCCCAGTACTGTCTATTAATCAAAGAATCCTCAATCCTCATTTAATTAAGCAGCACAACTGTTGATAATACTACTGAAAATATTGATGATAATAATAAGAAATGTTTATTGAGCAGCAAATCATCATACAAGAATGATGTGACACAGAAGAAAAATTACATTTTAAAATATATTTAATCAGAAACCATATTTTTTAAATATGATATTTCAAAATATTTGTTTCTACTCTATTTTTTTATCAAATAAATGCAGTCTTATTAAGCATAATAGACTTTTTTTTTGAATAATAGAATTCTACATAATAGAATCTTTTTTTTAATCTTAAGACCCTAAACTTTTGAACAGTAGTATATATTGTCATTTCGCAATATATTAGTTGTCTCACTAAACTCTTAGAAAACAGAAACCTTTTGTTATTTAAATTTCGAATGGAATATCACTGTAAAATGTGAAAATGGAAAAGTGTATTTCTCTCAGTCTAGCTGAGAGCAACAATCACTCAAGATTTATATTTATAGAAATGAATGACACATCATTTAGACCACAGGCCCTGAAGCCATCTTGTCAAACAGGTAATATGACAGTGGCAGCCAGCCCCCAACTAAAGACATGAGCACCCCTGCAATCACCTGCCACAAGGCTTCTGTAATTACATCCAAATGTAGCATACGAAAAACAAGGAATCCAAAACTTTAAGGAGGGAAAATATCTGGAGTGAGAAAATTTGATAGTGACAGATGTGCAGTCTGAGAATGTGACAGCACTCTGGAGCTGTGTCAGGGTCTGTTCTAGCAAGGACAGCTGCTGTCTCATCAGCATGTTGGCTGATCACAATTCAGTCCTGAACCAGAGTCCTGCAGGGCTTTACAGTTTTAGCCTGTCTGTCCGTCACGCTGTCTGAGCCTCAAGTCACTTCGGGACAGAGTTTCATACATGTCCAAACATGCGCACACTTTCATGCTTTCATTTTCTCACCTTCAGATCACACTGACATCTAAATGGAAGGTTCTAGACCCACAAACTAAAAAAAAAAAAAAAGACACCATGAGGTCATCTCTCTGTCAGCCCTGCTCAACATATCTCTGAGACCAACACAAGATCCTGTCAAAATCAGAGTAGCCACTTTAATGATCAAACCCCCTTGCAACCCACAGTTCTTCACACAACCCTGTCTGGTTTGACCCCGGCAGCTGCCGTCAGCCGTATTCTGGCCTCAGAGTTGTGGAGAGACCATCTACATTCTGTCAAGTCACTAAGATTAGTGGAGATATTCAATGCTCAGTCTGTCTCAGTCTGCCATAAGCACCTTAAAAATCCAGACTAGGCACTGTGGGATATCAGTTCATTTATGTGGGAATGCTTAAATCAGTTAGTCTGTTCTCATGGGATTGCACAAATCTGTTGTGATAACTTGTTAAATGTGACACGGTTTCAGCCGCCAGACATTTTGAGTTCCACTAATGGTCCTGTTGCTCTCAAATCAAAAATTACATGTAACCACGGTATAATGACATGTTTTCATATTCCACAACATTGAGTAGTTTTTTGGGTTTTTTTAGTATATGAGCCGGGTTAATTTAGTCTTTGACCAAATGCAAACCCTGGTGTGTGTGTGTAACTTTTCATTTTAAAGAATGAAATATAATTGACCTTTCCTCTTCTATTCTATTTCTATTCAGATCTGCATTTTCATCGGAGAGACGCTGCTCTTTCTGAACTGGGCCATTACAGCGGACATTTTAATGGTTTGTATTGAAAGCCTGTATTTATCTGCTGGGTCGAGTGGAAACTTTAAAGTCTTTAACTGTAACAAAATTGTCATCTTCTCGGGCTAGTTTCTTATTTTGAATGGTGGGCTGCATGACTACGAGGTTTGGTATAGCCTGGGTGGGGCCCAAGACAAAATTGCTGCTTGTTTTGATTGTACTTAATGGAAATGCCACTCATGGAAAGTAAAACGGAATAACATTTTCAGCTTGGATGTTTTTGTGTGAAGGAAGGAAGTAAGTGAGTTAGAGAAGAGAGAAGCTGTAAACTGAGTTCATGTAAGGTTGATTTAGTCACTCCAGTCAGCCTGGGTCAGTGTAAAGCGCTCTGACAGTGTCTGTTTAACTGAGCACTCATGGTACTTTTGTTTTCCTGTTTTGTTTCTCACTGCTGTTTTCCTATCACCTCTTTTCTTTTTCCAGTATGTTGTCATACCCACCAGAAGAGCCACTGCTGTTGCCTTCCAGGGTTTCACGTCACATTTACTAGGGGATGCTGGGAGCCCGTACCTCATTGGCCTGGTAAGAATGTCTCACACATAGGGCAGTGATCTGCAGCGCTTCCTGCTACAAGTACATACTGTTCAGTATTGAGTATTTGGCGTGTAGGGACAGTGCTTTTTTTTATTCACAATGGCAGAATTACACAAAAGCCCTCTGAAGGTTTCCCATTCTTCCTGATCTGCGTTTCTTTCCAGTAATACCTTTCTTCCCCTGGGGACGTTATGTTGGTATATGCCAGTCACCAGCTCATTCAAGGCTACATTCATCTCAAGTGTTCCCTTTGGTCTCTTAAACACTAGCGCGCAACAATAAGCTACGCCGCCTTGTGACATTTTGCTCTATGATTTTGTACGCTGACCCTGGCTCCATCTCCCTTTTCCTATTTCCCCTCTTGTTCATGTTAACAAAACAAAGGCAAACCGATCACAGTACGGCATAGATTCATCATTCTTCTTAACTCCGGAAAAAGCATGCTGTGGTTCCTAGACTTCCGACTCCTGTAGACATTCCTGGCATTCCGAACAGGAGTCACTGGAGTTGATCCAAGCTAAACAGTAACTCCTGTGCGTGGTTTTGACAGGTTAAGAGACCCATGTCATGTAGGGCTCAGGGTTCAGACCCATTGTTCATTTATTCCATTATCACTTTCAACCTCTTACAACAAAAGTCCATTTGCAATGCGTTTGCTCTTTAACTATCTCCCACATACACATCAATATTCGGCAAGAATGTGTCATAAGCACACAGCAGGAGGTAAGAAGTGTGTCTAATCTGGCTGTATATTGTTAATATGATTTGTATAGCTCCATCATTTGGTACTTGAAACACATGTCTTGCACATTATTGATTTAATGGCTTGACATAGAAAGTTCAAAGAACAGCATTTGTTTGAATTAGAAATATTTTATAACCAGGGGCGGCTCGCCCATAGAGGGCGCTGGGGCGCCGCCCTCCCTCCGACCTGTCTGTCTGTTTTTTTAATATATATTATAATTTATCATTTTGAAAAATAATCTGTGTTAATTATATGCTAATAATTGTTTTACTTTGAAAAGTGTTTTGAACTCACCAGAATGATATTTGCATTCACTTTCGTTACGTTTATCATGTTGGTGTAGTAGTATAGCCAATAGGCTGTCTTCTCAGGGCGCCAGTTCGCTCAGCCCCACAGTGCTGGAATTTAAGCCAATGGTTCCCCGGTTGCTATGCAAAAAAGTTTATATTTCGCCAATCAGCGTCGTCAAATTTTATGGTTTGGGGGCGCTGAAAATATCGCCCACAGTATCAGATTAGGGGAGTGCACCGTGCACGCGCACCACGGGACATTTTTTTACCTCAGATGAGAGCAGAATGGCAGCGCCAGTGACGTCGAGTGGAAATAATGTAAAGTTAGTCGTGGGAATTGACCTGTCTGTCTCTGTCACTCACTCACTCACTCACTCACTCACACACACATAAACACTGTTTCACACACATTTGATATTAAAATAGTTATTATAGGAATATTAATACCTGTGTGTTTGCTTTGTTTTTTTTATGTTTTTAAGTTCTGAGTTAGATTACTGTGTTTCATACTAGTTAAAATCAACTTTCTTCTCATACTTGGGTGTTACCCTCGAGAATGTTGTCCCACCCTCTCTTTCTCTAGTATCAACAGATTGTTATCCATTATCCAATTTGTCAAAAATAAATGTAGTCTACAGCTGGGGATTGATTAAACTAGATTGTTGTATTACCTATTATTTTTTGTATTACCTATATTATAATTTATCAATATTATGCGTTTGCACTTTTTTCTGTCAGCACACAGAGCATAATAAACATGCAACTTGTTCATTATCATTAACTGTCAAACTGTTATTATTATTATTGTATTATTTGACCATTGGTATTGACTGTGTTAAGTTATTTTATTGGTATAGGTAAGGGCATGGCCTAAGGCCTAAAATGCACCAGAATGCAGGAAATCACATCTACTAAATTCAAAATTTTATGGGGGGGGACCCCCAGACCCCCCTCCTATTCAGCCCCCCCTACAATATTTTTCACCAGCCGCCACTGTTTATAACATTACATATTGATTCATTTACATTTTTTTTTTTTGGATTGCTAAACGACAGTGAGCACAAGTGGAGCTACATGTGCAAAACTACAGTCTGCACTACCAACCATCACCTGAGCTAAACAGTTCACATTAACTGCAAAACTCATTCCAAGCAACACAACTCTTAACACACGCTCAACACAGGCTCAGTGCAGCCCAACACTACACAACCCTCACTGAGAGTAAAAACACTAGCATCAAACACCAATATGTGGGCATTCTGGCCTGTCAAATCCAGCAATGTAGGGCCGAGTCATGCATCAACAGTTACTTGATAATTTCACTCCGGAGGACTGGCAAGCTAGTGTGATGGTGGCTGTGACGTACTTCTGTTTTTTTTTTTTTTTTTTAATACGAGGAACAGTTTTTAGAGAAAAACCACAGGAACTTTAAAACTGGGCAGTGACACTATAGTTTTTCCAGGCATTATACATGTGGCAGGCAGACAACCTCTAAAAAGTGAACAATATGTGCACTAGGCCTGTGAATGAATAACATTTCCTAAATACCTGGTAACGCTCCATTTCACTCTAACTGATGTAAAAACATGTATAATACCTGTAAGTAAATCTATACCCCAAGGCATACTGGGTGGTGTAATTATCTATGAAAATAGGCTATCAGTCGCAATCTACCGTCTTTTTTACCACAACAAAAACTCATTAGATACGCACCACAAATGTTCAACTTCAGCAGTAGAAATAGTACAACATTAATGTTTGGCATCATAAAGAGTGAGATATACACATATACAGGTGTGTGGTCTGAACACACACACACAGACCTCACTGTCAGCACTCAATTATACACCTTTTAGTGTCAGCATACCTACCCAACCCATGAGACTTGCACACTAGTGCTGATTTTAACAGATTAGCCATGCTAAAGCGAGTAAGATGAGGAGCCTTCCTAAACATCATTTTCATGCTCAAAATATATATATTTTGCTTTATTTTGTAATAACATAATACACAACAATGGCTAGAACAAATCATTAGCACTAGAACATCCCTTTGTTTTTTGTTCACAGGTCTGTTAGTTATAATAATAATAATGATAATACGTTTTTCGGGGTACTCAAAGCGCTTCACATAGAAGGGGGTGGGGGTCTCCTCAACCACAACCAATGAATGTTATAAAATTATGTATAAAATGTTATAAATGTTTTATGTTATAAAATAGTGTTTTGTCTTAAAGCGTTTTGTTCTTTACTCCTTGTGCTAAATTAATTTTAGCCTATGTAATCATTTAAATTCATTCATCCTGCACTACACTATTTGTACTATTTCTTTACAATCAAATCCAATGACAATATCCCTCTCTGTAATATTACATAGGAAATATGTCATGTGGTCTTTAGCATTAAGAAACAGTTGCTGACTATGGACTAATAATCAGATTATGATAAATTGAAACTAACAAAAATGCCTCCTTGACTGAATCAATAGTTTAATTAATTATAATAGTCTTTTTATAGATTTATTGACTTACTATTGAACAGATTCCAATAGCTTAAGATAAGTTAACACAAGGATTAAGTGTTTACCCAGTAACTGATTGACAGCGCAGCTCTTGAAGACAATATTAGGAAGTTAATTATTGTATTAATGTCGCTGATGGCTCACAGCAGACTTTTCCTTTGTTTGCTAATGAGTTCTCTTTTGTTTGTGTCTCTATGTGCTCCTACAGATATCAGACTCCCTCCAAGAGAGCTACGCTACGTCAGCTTTATGGCAGTTCCTGAGCTTGGGATATGCCCTCATGCTCTGTCCATTTGTCATCGTTCTGGGGGGGATTTTCTTCCTCGCCACCGCCCTGTTCTTCCTCGACGATCGTGACAAAGCGGAGAAACAGTGAGTGCCTGAGCCTCATAACCTAGTAATTCAGTCTAATCTTTTAAGTCATTGTTGTAATGACATCGAGGTGTTTCCGTTTCAAGGGTCCTCACTTTACATCCCTAAATGGGACTATCATTTCTCATTTCCTACACTGACAATGACAATCCGGAGAATGGCGGTTGCCATGGTGATTTTGGTAGCCTTGGCCATTTTTGTGCTGGTGAATAGCCTCAGGTGGATTGTTAATTCGTGAGGATGAATGAGCTGGATAGATGGACGGAGATCTAGATATATTCTCAAACAATGACACTCTGCATAAGTGATTTGCCAAGGGGGAAATGACACATCACATGGACTACAGATGACCTTAAGATTAATTGCTTCCCTTTCTCAAATCATTAACCCATTATAAGAGAAATTTCAATATATATGTTATTTCAGTACTCCAGCATTGGGCCAAGACAAGCTAAACAAGTTTATGAATATAGCATTTGTCCGGTAAAAACAGTCATGGCGACATGCGAGGAACTGAACGTTAAATAAACCAAGTTTTCTTCTGCCATTGAAGCTATACCCATGCATTTTAACATGTCATACATAAGACATTGTGAGACACTATATATATGTTTATAGTATATATACCCTATGTATATTTACACATTTTAAAACAGACCTTTATCATAAACTTTAGCTGGTTTTGGTCATGGAAGAGTCCCATTCCCTTAAAAGGTAAAGACAAACATGATACTCAAACTTTGCGACTCACTTTCCTTTTTTGCGGCCGCCTTTTATCAAGTGGATTTCCTGTGTGTATTGCCACTCAAAAATGACTTCCTTCCCGTCTGCTTGAGGACATTTTTAGGCAGGGTGGTATGTTGGATTTCTGTGGAAGATTCCCACGATAGGTCTTAGAGACGGCTAAGGAGGTTGACTTTTCTTCTTGTCTCGCCATCTATTACAACAGACAGATTAATCATTATAGTCATCTTTCACAAGGAGCTACTCAACAAGATTATTTAATGTTCTTTTTCCTGCTATATATCCTAAGTAGTGGAATACAAATAGTGTACTTGAAACAAGAGATACAGGTCTTGAATAAATCAATCTTAGCAATGAATAAATGTTCAAAAGTGTAGCATCAAACAGAATAATAGCCTATAAGTGACACTCTTCCAAGTAGGTTTCCCTAAACACTTCTTACTTCTGCTGTTGGTCAGTCAAACAGATATCTCTGTCCAAAACTCACATTGGTTGAGCCAATCTTACTGGTCGGACACTCAAATAAACAGAGCAATGTTTGTTTTGGGGTTTTTTTTTTTTTTTTCAGGGAAATAAACCTATGAATGACTTACTTATACATATCCCTGCATATTAAAATGGGATAAAGTATTTTAACATTCTCAATCTAAAAACGTCACTTCAGATGTAAAATAAATGGCAAAAAAAGGTTAAATTTAAAGGTGATTTTATTTTTACATCATATTTATTCTAGAGTAAATATAGCAAGTGAAGGTGTATCCTTAAAGATATTCAAAGCAGTTGACTCCCACAGTGGATTGTAGATTATACCACACCTTTTTACCATTATGTAGCCATTATGGTTTAAAATAACCACTGAATTGCATTTGCAGCTAAATATGCCATGCAAAACATAGCATTAAAACAGTTATGTTTGTGGATGCAGCATAAACTATAAGCTTATTCATTGAACATTTCCAACCAATACTCTTGCATAACACCCTTCTCAGTGTTTTTCATAAGCATTGCATCATCACGAGGTTAAATCGAGCCTAAAAATAGCATTTTAACTGTGCTGTTTCAGGCTCAGCTGTTCTTTATTCACAAATATCTTGTTACTTCAATGTAGCATCGTTTGTCTTCCTCTATTTATAGCTGCAACATACAAAATGAAAGGCGTTCACTGGAGCGTAGGAATATATATTGAGCTTGAAGAGTACTTTATTTCTTGGTTGTTAGCTCTTTTGGGCTGAGGGGGAGCCATTTATAGCGCTGGGGAAAACACCGTGCACATAGGCAGCCATTCAAAAAACACACACACACGCATTTGTTTCATATCTTTTGCTGCCTGGCGTCAGTTGGCATAGTGTCCATGGGGATGTACTGACGATATAAGCATCCCTGAACTGTGTGTTAAAGCACATGTGGCCTGTAGGGAAGACAATCACACTGCCATGAAGTGTCCCCATTGATATTTCCAACAGAGTGAAAAAATTTACAAGTAAGCAGGAGTAGGATATCGTTTAACAGGACTGAAATGTATTTCCAACCAATTTTTAGAAATTAAAATATCCAATCATATGTACCATGTTAACTTTGACAACCCTTCAAAGTACATTAAAGGGTTAGCTCAAGCTCACCCAAAAATAAAATTACTCTCACTCATATCATTCCAAACCCATAAGACTTATATTCATCTTCAGAACACAAATGAAGCTCCTGCTCATGTGAATGTACAATTATGAAAAAACACTGCACAAATATCTACTCAATCTTTCCCTCATTATTCTGTTTCTTTTTTCCCTTTAATTTTCCAGCAGAGTAAACCAGCTTTCCCGGCCGCCGTCCACAGTTAAGGTAAGACCTCAATTTCCTGCAAGCCTCCAACAAAGGCCTCCAGGTTACACAACTGTTATCCGGTTGATCTTTTAAATGCAGAATATAATGGTTCAAGCTTATTTATCAGAAGGTATTCAGTACTGTAAGAGGAGATATACCAACTTTGTTTTACACATTAAAGTAATTGAGTATCATAATATCAGTGAATAGAATAGAATAGAATAGGTGACCAGGTTATTTTAATCCGTTAATAATCTCAAATTTGGCTCCTCTTCAAACCTCTGTTCCTGCCCCCTTCCCCTCTTTCTCTTATCAGCCTCTCACACACTGTTATGAGCCTGTTTGTATAATTACCATGGCTTTGTATGCCCTAAAAGAACGGCAAAGCATCAAAAGAAAGAGAAAGAAAACAACATCGGGAAAAAGGTTTCTCTGGTTGCCAGTTTTTTAGGTGGAGGACAATGTGTGTGGGAGCAGTACACCAAAAATAACTAGTCCCTCAAATATTTGATTGAGAGTCTGGATTGTCACCGTTAAATGTGGTGATGTATTTTTGTAATGCAGACAGGCTGTCCCAACTACACCCTCCACATTCTAATTAGCAAAACTACTACTCCTTATTAGGTTAAGAGCTTAAACAGGCTGAAGTTTAACTGGAAATCAATAAGATATCTCTGGTTGGACGAAGCGCAAACCATGGCCTTGAGGGTTAGCCGGTCAGAGGCACATACATTAGCATAAATGAGCATGTGATGACAAGACATATTGCCTCTGTCACTTATATAAATGGGAAAAGTTCTCTAATCAATAGGGGGGTCAAAGCACAAAGTGGAGAGGAAACCGCAGAGTTACATAACAGACGGACACCCACACGCGCGTTATTAGAAAAGGAATTACGAGGAGGCACGGTGATGTGACAGCTGGAGTGGGAGTACCGGAAAAATCACTATTGTGACATTAGCATTGATGAAGGCAGAAGATTTCAGAAAGGAAGGGCCTGCAACCAATGCAAAGAGAAGATAGTAGAGAGAGCAAATGAGAGATGAAAGAGAAAGAAATGGAGCATTGCCCTTGGATTATATAGCAGATGGAGGATGCGATGCGCTAAACACTTAAGAGATCTTGCATAGAGAGTGCTTAAATCAAAATACAACAAAATGGAGAGTCTTCTCAATAAAAAGCTTGTCTTTCCTTTTAGAGAACATCTGCTAATCAATAATAACACAACCAGATGTGTCTTTCAACCGTTCATCCTTTAGGCAGAGTTTAACATGGTTGGATTTCCTTAATAGACAATCTATTCAAAATGAGTTATGTGCAATGCTGTTTAAAAGTTTAAAAACACTAAAAACAATGATTTGTTTAACAGTAGAGGAGTTTCTAGGACAGATTATTTGTGGCATAATGATAGACAAATCCCAAGCATGACCCTGGATGTTCTGTAAACATCAGTGATGTGATTATCTAAGCATAATACTCTAGTTACGTTGCATCAGCCAAATGTCATCTTAGAGTTCTGTTCTCTGCATTTCCTCGTGCTACCATAACAAATTGAGACTAAATCAATAATTGTCAAGTTTGTGACAGACACATTGGGGTGTCAGTGGGGCAGCTGTGGGAAGCTTTCAGAGCTCTGGTGTGTGTGTGTGTTGGGGTAGTTTACCTCACCAGCAGCACCAGACAGATGGCTCACTGGGTACTGAGTTATAATAATTCAAACATCCTGTAGGGAACCCAAAGACTAAGATGTTATTGCTCCAAATTTTATTCAACAACTACGAACAGCCAGAGACTCACACCTCTTTCTCTTTTTCATTCCCTCAGGTTACCAAATGAGAAGCCACTACTGCAATGAAGAAAAAGTGGAATGAAAATATGGGCAGGTGGAGGGAAAAACAGAAGGAATTAAACTTGCAGCTAACTTTCTATATGCACACTCAGCATAGTCTAAGATTACCGCTATCATCGTCATCTCTGCTTTTTCGCTCCATTCTGTGAAGGCCATTCTGAATTCGAGTCGCACCTTGCCCTTCCCCAGTAAACCTTCAGCTGGAAAGAGCCTTCAGCCAATCAGCAGCTGGTGTGCAGCTATTAATGATGTATATAAAGAGCCTTGTGGGCTCTGGTGGGTGTTTAGATGAGGGTGCCATACTACTGAACACAGCACGGACACACACTCCCGTCCTGTCACGCTGCCTGTCGATCTGCACCAAGTGCCATAACATCACATTCCTAATGGGGACCAGTACCAGATGCTCACAGCTAACAGGGGCTCACCAATACGCCAAAAATCACCCCCAAAATAGTAACTACAGAACTGAGGGAATCACTCACATCCCATCAACTACCCAACGAAAACTGAGTGGTGAGTCCTGCCTTAAGAAATCTGGCAGAGGCACAGGTTTGGTCCCCGGTCACTTTTCTTTTATAAAGATTCTTTTCTTTGCTTTTTATGAAATGTATTTTCTGTTCTTTTTCTTAGCACTTACCATTTTAATGCAGTGCCAGTGACATCATGCAGCCACGCATGACACATCGATTATTATCTTTTCTCTTCTTGCTCTGACTGTGTTTTTACAACTAAAACTGGAGGGACTTTGTAAACTATAGCTGAAAGGGACACTGGATTGTAAATAACTTTTTAAAATGAAGAAACAAAATTTAAATGCTTTCATACTGAACTTTACTGAACAGTCTGCCAGGATAAATCGCATAGTATGCCCAGGAGGGAAGCAGAAATGTTTTAAAAATTTAAGTGAACAAAGCCAAGGTTATCGTCACTTATCTAGTGTTTTTCAGTGCGGAATTCCGTCCGGAGTGCCGGGTTACCCATCCAGACCTTCATTTTAACTACGGATAAGATTCACAAGCTCAGTCTATAAGAATGGAAGTCTTTGTATGTTGGCTTACCTTGCTCATTTGCTTTTACATATCCCTTTACTGGAAAAGAAGAGAGAGAGACAGGGTGATAGTGTATCGCAGCCGAGTTAATTACCAACTCTGCAATCCATCCGTTTTCAAAAAGGGAGAAATCTAACTCTGGGGTTAAGCTAAGTCTGGATTGCTTTTTTGTTGATTCTGTGAATTTTGTGGAAGTTTCTTTTAGCAGAAATCAGATATTTGAATATGTTACATATGCTAAGAAAAGCACTTTGCTTTTCACTGAGTAGTCTTGGATATGAAGAAATACAATTGGAGAAAATATCAGTTTTCGCTGTTATTGGCCTGTGTGGTTTTACTTAAGAGTATAGTTTGTAATATATGCAATTTAAAAGAAGGTTAACAAAAATGAAAGCTTTCACAGTGGCAATAATTTGTATATTCTCATATTTAGCAAGATTCACTCAGCACACACACTCACACACACACCGTCACTTTTCTTGAACCTGGTGTTACCAAATCCGTCTGTATCTGAAGCCGTTCTCAAAGAGAAGCGGATGCTTTTTCCAATCTTGAAAAAAGCACCTTGTCTATAGATTGAAGTGGGGAAAAAGCTAATCTGTGTTTTGAAGGTCTGACTTAACATGTCATGTGAAATTACCGTCCTGTTTGCCAGTCATATCCTCTTTCATCATGCCAGGTGAAAAGCCTTTGAATGTGATTCTGTCCAATCCAATGTGTTTACACATGCAAATTTATCTTAATGAAGCTTTTGTATTATTACTGTTGTTATTATTCTTTTACTGATGTCATTTTCTTTCTTTTTACAAATATGATTTTTATATATATAGGCTATAAACACTATAAAGATTTAAACTATTATGCAGCGATTTTAATATATTGTAAACGGCTTTGATGCAATGTATTTATTATTATGTTTTTGTTTGCTACCCTTGCTGATAAGGTATAAGGGAAAAAATATTGTAAACATAGATATTATGTACAGTTTTGTTTTTAATTTTCTTTGAAAATTCCTCATCACCATTTGAAGAATCTCTCAGTTGTTCATCTCAGAGAACTGTTTTCACAGGAGCCGATTATTTTACTGGTTCGCACAAACAAACAGCATGATTTACACTTATAAGGACATGTATTGTGTACCAACATGTTTGTTTGACCAATGAACTGATAATTGATTTATTTTGCACAAGCAACTGAGTGTGTGAATAATGTGCTGATCAGGGGGGTTTTCTCTTACTGTCTAATCCAATAGTTCTACACTGGCATTTTAAGTGCTAGCTTTGAGGGATTATTCTCCATTCACTGCCTGGCTATAGCTTTTCAAAGTTATTTTACATGCTGATTATATGACTAGTTTATTTGTTTGTTGAAAGGCAGCGCTCACGGTGATCTAGGTCGGACTAACGACTGGCTTAATATTTGTACGGCCAAGTTCATTTTATCAACAAAACCCGATGCTATTGAGCAGTTTTATGAGATCGTTTTAATTGCCGAATCGTGAGAATTGAGTATTTCAGATTGCACATTTTCTTGTTATACAAGAATTCTGTAAAAATGTACCTATTTCTGATGTCAAGCAGAAACTAAAAGGTGATTTTATTTTTTAGAGCAAGTGTGATTATAAAGAAGAAAAGTATCTAGGACGTTTACTGTGATGCTCCCACGGGGATATACACCCTATATGTAACTGATCAAAATAAACTTATTTAATCAAAACAGAGCAATATGTTGTTGTCGTTTTTTTACATTAGATTTAAGTGCACTTGATTTCATTTTGTTACCCAATTAAGACAATTGTGGGAGGAAATTTATCCTGTGTTTTTTTTTTTTTAAATATCAAGCATCCTGTAAAAAAATAATCATGGTTTTACGTAAAAATACAGCACAAATGTTTCAACATTGATAATAATAAGAAATATTTCTTGAGCAGCAATTCAATATATTAGAATGATTTCTAAAGGATTGTGTGACACTGAAGACTGGAATAACGGCTAATGCATTATAATTGCATTATACATTATTTTTAAATTGTAATATTTTACAGTATTACTGTTTTCACTATTTATTTATTTTTTTGTGATAAATGCAGGCAGCATTGAAAGGAGACTTTCATTGCTCCGGAGCAGGAAGCCCTCTCTCTTCCTCTTTTTCAGAGGTAGAAGGGGGGTGGGCTCAGCAAAAGGTTTCATTTTCATCGGGCAGTGCAAGAGTCAGCCAGGATTTGGGGGGACTGGATAAAGTCCAGCATTGTTTAGAGAGGCACAGTGCACCTCTGTTGCCCGGCAACAGTTTCTGTGACACCAGAGAATAAGAATGCAGATGGAGAAGGTCACCAGTGTGTTGACAAGACTTGAAACACCTACATAACGTGTTGCTGAAAATATAAGAAAACGTGCTTAGCAACAGCTGTCACATTCATCCATATTACAGATGAAAAAAAATAATATTTGCTCATGGTGTGACCCAAACTGCATGTGAAAGCAAATCGAGAAAGTTCACAAATATCTGCAACCGTGGCAACAGCTGAGGACAGAATTACCTCATACCATAAAACAGTGGTTCTCAAAGGGGTGCACAGGTACAGCTTGGGGTGGGGGCAGCCGCTGTAACTCTTCCGCAGACGGAATCACAAGCTGCTATTGTGAATGTCCCACTTCGCTGCAATATACCAGCGAGAAGATGTACAAGAAGCTGAGGTTGTGAGGCGCTGTCAAAAGAGCTCTGATTATATGCGAAACATCACTGAAATATTTATTTATTTATTTATTTATTTTCAATTGAAAGTTACATTCTGATGTGTCATCATCCCTTACTGTTATATTTTTATTAAGGGGGATAGGCTTGACCAAGCGAGAACCACTGCCCTAAAAAATATGACAAGCTCATAAGACCCATAATGGCTAAATAACTCTAAAGAGTCAGTCAATAATGATGAGGTGTTTTCCTTTAGTTAAATGCAGAGCTGATAGCCTAAATCACCCCAAAATGCTTACTGTGGCTGCGTTTAATCAGAAGTATTGATCACCGGAGCTTTTCTAATCACAAGTGACCTTTGTCTAACCTTTGACAGGAAGGTCCTTATATAGGCAACATCTCAATGTTTGACTAATTTACAGTCTTACCATTCAATTACAGTATGACATTGAAGATTAATAAAATTAAAATGCTAATTAAAACAGGATCTTGAAATGAACCGAATATATGTTACATTTCTAGGGGTAAACTCAAATCAAACATTCAATATTTATTTTAGACTAAAACATCAAACTCCTTTGAAAAAAAGGATGAAGACCTTTTCTCACTGGACATTAAACTCTGATAGACTGACAGAAATGCACTGGTCAAGCAAACCAAACCTAGTTCTGGCATAAAACACTGTCAACGTCAACAGAACAGTGGAGATCTGACAGGAAACTCTAGGGTGTAGACAGGATATAATGGTTCCTTATACTCAGCAGGAAAATCTATGTGGCGATTTCTTTTCCATGGACCTGTTAAACACTATGTGAGCCAAAGAAACAAACAATAAAACAAGGGTCATTTTAGAGGCATTCGTAAGCTTGAATAAATATTTGCTGAAGCTCATGTCAATTTTTGCTTGGTTATTTTGACAAGTTACTTTATTTGGCTATTTGGCTAGTTAGTTGCATGAAAGTTCATCCTAAATTTAAAAGTATGTCATTATTCACTCATGCTCATGTCATTCTAAACCTTTATGACTTCTGTGTAACACACAATTATATTTAGTAGAATTTTTCAGTATCATGACAAACAAGGAAATCCAACACGGTTCAATGTTGTTTGGGACAATACAGATTTTTTTTTTATGGAGAAACAGTTCTTCAAAAATATGTTCTTCTGTGTTCCACAAAAGAAAGAAAGCCATACAAGTTTGAAAGAACATGAGAATGCTGAAATGAAATTTTGGTTGTCCTGATATAATTTAAAGGGTTAGTTATAGTTCTGACGGAGACCCCCATAGGCTAGCGCTGTGTTTACTACCTGAACAGCGTAGACTTGAAAGTTGCAATGAAGTTGCTTATGGCTGGTTCAGAAAGCTCTCTGATTTCATCAAAAATATATTAATTTGTGTTCTGAAGATGAACAAATGTCTTACGGGTTTGTAATGACATGAGGGCGAGTAATTAATGACAGAAATTTCATTTTGGGTGAACTAGCCCTTTAATGCATGTCCTGATTTAATAGGAATAAAAACTATACTGTTAAATAAATGTATTATCTATAATTCACACAAAATTGTCTGATTAAAATGAGTGCTTTCCTATTTAATTGTTGTGATGTCACGAACCAACATCATTGGGGACAAATTGGGGACAAAAAAAAAGTGTTTTGAACTTAGAAATTGAACTATTTTTGTAATGTTACTCTTGGGTTATATTTTTGTCTTTGGCATATGGTTAAATGAGAGCACGCTTGGTGATGTGTACATGATATATAATTTAAAGAGAGAACAAGGGCAATTCACTCAAAGAGGCTTTATATCAGGTATGTTTTCTCTGTGGTATTATTTTCTTGTATAATGTATTTGTTTTTCTCTACTCAATTTATTTCATGCAAATTTGTTCCCCCTTTTGCATTAACTGCATCGAAGAGAGAGAACAAGGGCAATTCACTGTCTGCTGTACCGTGTCTGATTCCACAAAGTCACAACGCAGAGTAAAAGCATCTCAACTGGTGTTGCCAACCATACACAACGGCCAAATGAAATCCTAACCATGTCCCTAAACCTAACCCTACCCATAAATTATGTTAAATTAAGTGAAATAACACTGATGTAGAAGTACCTAACCCTGGTTTAATGCCTACATTAGACATAAACTGTAAACTTGTCCCTCAAATCTGATTGGGACTGGGTGATTGACAAGTTGTTCCAGGATCAACAATGATGTGACTCTGACTTCCTTCATCTATAAAACGTTTTTTTTTTTTTTTATGTTACATATTAAGTTGCTCCTACTCTGCAGGTCTTTAAAATGGTCCTTACATTTTTAAGCAAACAACGGAACAAAACCAACTAAAAACAATATTATTACCTGCTGTATCTTTCCTGTCATTGTCTCTCCAGATAAGTGGATCTCAGATTGACTGGCTGATTAAAGAACAGAGTTAAATATATAAAATGATTATTAACTGATTATTATATTTGACAAAAAAAAAAAAAGTCGCAGAGTCAAATCTCTGCAAAGATAAACGAGGACAAAGTTTATGCTGACTCACTTTGTCCATCTGACACCTGAATAAATCGAACACCCATGATGATCATCTAATATAACATTTAATGTCTTCTATAAGTAAAATACGAAGTGAATAGCTGACAAATAGTATGAGGTTATGCAAAGTGACTGAAAATTGAACAGTGGAAAGAAAAACATGACTGACGCCAAGTACACCAGCAGATGAAAAGAATAAAAGGCATAATCTGTGGAGAGCCTCATGGAATTCATGCTGTCTGATTATGAATGAAGTCATCCCACGTACGTTTTAGTGCAGTCAGCATATTTGATATTCCTCCTCAAAAGCCAGAGACCAATACAAAGGTCAATGCTAAGAATAGCACCATACGCCTCAAAACTCAGCTTGATTGTGCATTTAGGGAATAAAATAACACATACTAAAATAACACATAGCCTATACTTCATTAAATATAGATTCAAAAAGGGAACACGCCACAGTCTCCATCTTCCTTCATTAATATAAAAAGAAAGAAAGGCAGAAAATAGCAAATGACAGCAGACAGGCAGATCTAAAAAAGCCCTTGGGACAAATTTAGAGGCATTAAAAAAAATCATACTTGTAATGGAGGCATCCAACCATATTTCTCATGTGAAAAGAAGAATTGCTATTACGCCTGGGCTTTCTAAAGTCAAACAGAATGGCAATATGTATTATATTATTTATCATCTTTGTCTTCATGCTGTTTTTTTGTGTACTGTATGCATGAGGGGTTTCAGGAACCTGGCATATTAGCAAATATGAATGACCAATCAGAATCAAGTATTCCAGAAAGTCGCTGTCACAATCCTAAGTCACCACATCACACTAGGCCATACATTCCCCATAATCTCCCACCTGTACACACTCATCTAATCATCACACCTGTTATATTTTTGGTTTACAATTGTTTCACTCTTCAGTCTATACAATAGACTCTCTTGTATCTGACTATCTTTGGTCTGTTTGTGTTGGCCTATGTTATGCACAGTTATGCCTGTCTGTTTTTTTTTTGTTTGTTTGTTTGTTTGTTTTTTGTTGCTTTTATTAAATCACATTTATATTTATCTTCATCCATCTTCTTCATCCTCATCCTGTGACAGTCACATTGCAATAATAAAATAATCATACATAAAATAAAACAGTAAGAAGAATACAGGTAAATAGCAGGACACAGCACTCTCATTATGAACTCATTATCTTCAGCACTAATGCAGTTAAGAAGCCAATAAGCTTGGTAATTCAGACTGGCATGCTAAATTAACAGCCATTTTAAAAATTACCTTTAATTTTCATGCCACCTTGAAACATATTCATCTACTTATGACCACTTGATAGGATATGGACTACAGTGTAATACAATGTGTTGGTTATCTAGAACAGCCTTTCTCAAAGTGGGTGCCGAGGCACACTGGGGTGCCCCCTAGCTGTGTCAGGGGTGCCGCCAAAAAATTACGTAGGCTAAAAAAAATGTGAAACCCCCCCCCC